CACTGTGTGTTCAGTAACCTCACTGCAGTTGGTACGAATGAATTTCTATATCTGTCTGTTCTTGCTTTTTTGGAAATGTATCGTTTACTGCGATGATTATTTATTTGTGATAGAGTACAGGTGGTGGGGGGTAAGAAGTGCTAGTCTGAAGAGTGTCAAAGTGACGGGAATAACATAACAATCTCAGATTGTTCAAGAAAATGGAGAACATCAAGAGATCACTGCCACAAGCTGTAGTAATTTATATAACCTCTTTGAAGTCGCCCAATTTATGCAGCACTTTATAAGCGCAATACTTTATTTACTTATGGAGTGATTTTAAAAGTTTAAAAAGCATAATGCGAAGAATAATAATAATAAATAGCATTTGTATAGCGCATACCCCTGCTCAACAGCAAGCTCTATGCGCTTTACACACAGTATTATTTCCCCAGCAACCATAGAACACCCAGAAACATTCTCAGCTTCCCAGGAAGCATACAGTGCAAGCAGCTGATTAAGCGCTCAGACACAAGCAGACATGATCGTTTGCTGTCTACATGGGAATCGATTAAATATATCAGAGCTGAAAACTCATTTCGAAAAACAAAAACGTGACAAAAAATAGTTTGCGTGAAAATATATATAAAACAGACTGCTTTTTCTTGGACAGTAAGCAAGAAAAGGGTTAGGGTGAAATTATTTTCGTTGTGGGATTGCTAGAATAACAATGAAGGGTAAATTTGTAATAGTGGGGTGGAATTTATAATCGGCAGTACTCTCTTTTTGGTTTTTTGTGTCACAGTGAAATAACAGCAAATTTTTTTTTCACCAGCAATTTTTTGCCTTTGAGTTCAAGGTTCGATATGGTCCAGAAGATGGCTGGAAGACATTTGATCCTATAAAAGAATATAAAAGGATGGTAAGTGACTGTTGTGTTTTGCTCAGAGTATTTTATATTGTGTTTTACCCATGAGGTGAATTTCGAATAACAGGAAAGGAAGCAGATGGAAAACTCTCCTGCACAATTTGCAGAGTTCAAAATGAAAATCTGATGCTCTCCTAGATTGTAGAGACAGTGAGTCTTTTTACCTCTATCCAATGAGTGATAGTGATGTATATTATTTAAGTGGTTGATAAAACTGCAAATAGTTAACTGTCAAAAGGACAAAATGTTTGTTTTCTTTATCTCAGTTTGTGGTAGGAAAACATTTCTTGCAAAGGAAAGTATGCCTTGCTTATGATATGAGAGAGTGTTGTTCCTGGTCGAGATATTAACTTAAATATACGAAATGAAGAATTCCTAAAATTATACAGCTTTTGTAAACACTCATTCATATATGTGAGGCATCATGGTGAAATCAGGCACTAGTAAAAAAAAAAATAATAAGGTCTAAAAAACCAGCATTTTTTCTGTTGGTGAGGCAATTTTTATACAATTGTTGTATTTAGGCTCAACATTTTCTATGTCCATTTAAAAACAAATTTCTGTGTTAATTTTACTGAAAAATGTTGATTAAAGGCACAAAAAATGTAAATTTTCAGTTTCCAAGGACGCTCAAACTATGGAAGCCATCAAACTTTGGCTGCAATTTTCTCGCTACTTTTACCTCAGAAAGCACCTTCAATCGTAAATATTTCGACCTCTATTCAAGATAGATGGGTATTTTTCTCCATGTAAATATAGACAAATGAAAAAGCTTTAAGATATAAATCACTCCACATGCCCAAAAATTGACAAGTGCCTGATTCCACCACCTCATCATGAAACATAATATGTATTCCATCTTCTGTTTCCACAGTTATTTCTTAGGTTTTTACCTTATGATGTCCAGAATGAATTGCTATCTATTTTCTCAGAGCAGAGTTTTATTGTTTACTGTTCATGACTTCACAGGGTGTACCAAATGAAAGTTGGAGAATCAGTCGAGCCAATGAAGATTATCAACTGTGCGACAGCTATCCTGCCGTGGTATTTCATTACTTTTTTCTCCTATCCATGCTTTAGTTACATATTGATGTGGGAAAGGGGCGACATATATGCAGAAAAAGTTTCTCGCAAATTGTTTTTCGAAGTGAGCTTTTAGCTTTTATATATTTAATTGATTCCCATGTAATTTGTTGAACGTGGGTGTTTTTTTAATTTGTCAAAAAAGTTCATTTTCATTGCTACTCTAATGTTTAGGAAAATCTGTATTTTTCTCAGTTACAATAAAGTTGGTTTTGTAAGTGTACTGTTCTAAGATTTATAATTAAGTTGAAGTCAGGTTGTATTGTCAACTTTTTTGTTGATTTTTTTGTTGTTTTTTTACATTAACTAATATCTTTTTGCTGACGATTTGAATTTTTGTTACATTAAAAACTAGCTCATTTTAAATGTCTTTCTAGCTTGCAGTCCCAAAAAAGTCGTCGGATTCAGACTTATTAAAAGTGGCAGAATTTAGAAGCCGACAGAGAATACCGGTGAGTACCTTGTCGTTAGTAAGCTGTAGTTTAGGCCAATGGCACTGAATGACAAGATTGCCATCTGTGGTATAATGGTCTGGCTTTTTGTTTTGCACCCAGAGAATGTCAGTTGGTTTCCAAAATGCTGTAAATATTGTGTCTCTCTCCTTGTGTTTAGATGTGCTTTGGTGTGGTTTGCTCCTTCTTTCCCCTCAAACATCTATCGTCCTGATCTCTCCTCCTTCTTTTTTGTGTTTGTTACTCTCTTGTAACACCTCTAATCTTCGGCACTTATATGACTGCATTGTGTTGCAAGTGCCGTAAAACTTACTAAAGAAAAGATTTAATTTTAAAAGAAAATCACTCATTGTTCATGCATTTGAAGACTGCATTGCTCCATCAATATTTTTCTGTGAAGTGTTCTGAAACTTTGAAAAAATTGAATAGGTAAACAGACTCTCCTTTTTTAGAAACTGGACTAGATTTGTTATAACTGTTCAATCAAACAGCTCAAATAGTTACAACTCTGGCTCTAAGCAACTTAGTATCAAGGAGATTTGCTAAATTTATTGCTGTTACTGGTAGTTCCACAGTTGTAAGTCTCTGGAGAGTTTTTTAAATGTTTTCATTTTGTCCTCCATTTCTCTGTCATTCTCGTTATCTTAATTTTTTTGTTTATGCCCTTGCAATTATATATGTGCTTGTTTATGCACCAGTATCTGCAAAATCGGGAAAAAAGGGGAGGGAGTGTGGATGAAAGTCTCTGATAGACAGTGTCGGAAAGTAAATTCATATTATTTCTTATATTTTGCCGTATTTATGAGTATGTAAGCAGGTTAAATATATATATATATATTTTGTAAGAATTCTCTCTCTCTATGAAAATGTAACATGTTGATGTGATTCGGTGTTATTGATGCTATTGTTATGTCCTCCTCAGGTGCTGTCGTGGATCCATCCAGAGAGTCAGGCCACCATCACTCGCTCCTCTCAACCCATGGTTGGCGTGACAGGCCGGACAAACCGGGAGGACGAGCAGTACATCACCAATATCATGGACACCAACGCTCAGTCCCACAAGCTGTTCATCATGGATGCTCGTCCCTCTGTCAATGCCGTAGCCAATAAGGTAGACGAGAACTTTTTTTCTGGAACTTTCGGTAAAAGTAAAGTAAACACACACACACAGACACACGCACAGGCACACACACACACCCTGACACACTCTCACACAAACACACACACATACATGCACGCTTTATGTCTATGTGTATATGGATAATCACTGCTAACGTCTCCTGTTCCTAAAAGACATAGCACCAAACCCACGTGACCCCAGATGTACTTGGTAGCTTAAGTCGGTTCCAAATTGTTTATTTCTAAGGTACTGCAATGCAGTTTTCAGCTATAGAAGAAAAGTATATTGATTAATCAAAATCATGGTCTTTCATTGCTATGTGTTGCAACGGCAGTTTTAGAGACCTCTGAAATAGTTCTAGTATGAGTATGTCATAGCTTGTTATTTGTAAATTATTTTATGTCATCAATTGCAAAATCAACTGCACAAATTCCTTTGAGAAAAAGCTTGAATCTGTAATAAGCATTTTGTTGCTGGTTCTATGACTTCTCCAGTTGACTCCCCATTGATGTATCCCCAGGCTCGTGGCGGAGGCTATGAGAGTGAAGAGGCCTACAGGAATGCGGAGCTCATCTTCTTGGACATACACAACATTCATGTCATGAGGGAAAGGTGGACTTAAACTCTTTTGTTTTGCTTCTTTTTTTTTCTACAGTGTCAATAATAATAATAGATAGCTTTTGTAAAGGGCAAATTTCCACTCAACAGCAAGGTCCATGCGCTTATCATGGTATCAGCAGACCTGATAGCATTCTAAAGCAATCTCAACTTCCTGGGAAGCATACTGCGCAAGCTGCCATTTATAGGCTCTAAATCAGTAACATACTGACAAGATCTTTTGCTGTTTATGGTCGGGTACCCACCTGGATGAAATAGGGAAAATCTGTGTAAAGTGCCTTTCCCGAGGACACAACGTCAGGCCTGCAGCTTAAACTCAAGAACCCGCAACCTCATGATTATGAGTGTGATAGCGTATCCACTAAACTACTGACACCATCAAGTACGATGTACTAGCTTTTTTTAACTGAATTATCTCATTAATTCTATTTAAGTTACACTTACTTCTGTATCCATTTTGTGTGCGTTTTTATATTGATTGGACTGGGGCCTGGTTTATTCTCACTATTTATAGAGCCTTTTCCATTGCGGAGGCACTTTTTTTTCAGTGTCTGAGCATCACTCAACATGACTGACGTAACTTGTATATGTGTAGCATAAATCTGTTCTTTACTTACAATTTTTCCTTGTGCACACTTTCAGTTCACTTTTGCCGTGGAGATAAAGATTATGCTGCCTATTGATGGGGAGTGGGGTGGACAGACACAGTATTGTCTGACATTAAATAATGACCTTTGTATAAATGCACATCAGAGCAAGGATTTTTTTTTTCACTTTGATTGTTAACACACTGTGAACTGAAATTTGTTGGGAGTTTCCCTGCTTGTTTTTAGTCCAAAGGTTGTGTGAGGAAAAGCGTTGCATTCATCCCATTGTTTTTCAGTGTGTGTTGTTGTGCTTTTAACCCCATTACCTTCACCATGCTGTTAAACCCATTAGCTGGTGCAAGCATATTCAATAATGTACTAGTACTGAGACTGTGAGGTTAAAATATCTTGAAAGGAGTACAAGGGTGAGGTTCCTAACTCGTCAAATATCATTATGCCAATTTGCCCCAAACTAACAAAATTACCCCCCAGTCATGTACCTTGAACACACAAAATGAAAGTTTAACAAAAAATAGGCTGTGTGTCAGTAGTACGTCTATTTGTATTTTGCTGCATGTTCCCCAAAATGGACAAAAAGTTAACTCATTGGCTCCCTGTTTGTGACTATCTTTGATTTGATTTTGACGTTGCTTTGTATAAAGGTGAGCATTTTATGAAAGTTATGTTTCGTATCTTTTCTCTTCACAGCTTGAGAAAGTTGAAGGAAGTGTGTTTCCCCACCATAGATGATGCTCACTGGCTTTCCAATATTGAATCAACCCACTGGCTGGAGCACATCAAAGTAACTTTCCTTTCCTACTAACCCTTCCAATTATGTAATGTTAATCGTACCCTTTTTCGTGTGTTGTTTTTTTTTCAAGTAACTGAGGTCCTTGGATGAAAGTAAGCAGCACTGTGAAAATGTTATTTATAACTGAATTTGTAGAAACAGAAATCGCACTCATTTTCTAGATATTTATATGGGTTGAAAAGTTTTTAGTTTTTATTACTTTATTACCAATTCTCATCCCGTCAGTTGTTATGTTTAAAGCATTGAAAAGTATGACGATTTGGTGAACAGAACAAAAAAATCAATTCCACATTTAATAGGTCAATCTACATGAAACATGTTACAAAAACCAAGCACCAAAATTTTCATAGCAATATACTTTGTACAAAATCATTTCAAATCTGATAACAAGGGAGAAAAAACTTGTTAGTAAGGAACAATTGAGACAAAATATAAAAAGGTCAGTGTTGGCACACACACAAAAACTGAATAACTTCTTTACATACTGTCTGATTTACATAAATCTTAATATGTAAATGTTCATGTTCATACTTTTGTGGTTACAAAATCAATTAAAATGTCAAACTGGTTGATTTTTTACCCTGTATACTGTAGGCCTACTGGTCTGCTTTAATTACACATCAAATTGTTCATTTCTATGAACCCTTTACATTTGTGCATGTGCAAACAATTTGCATGTCAAGACATCGGAGGGATTTCTCAAATACTAAACTATTTTAACAAATGAAAGTAATGGAATTTTACATTGAGAATGTGAGTTTGGGGCCAAGTTATTTTATCAAGTATTTCCATCTGATGGCTCGGATGTTGTATACCTCTTAGCCCCTGTTATCCATGGTAGGCAGTGTCGAAGCAGCCCACCTCTTAAGTGTTGTAGATTGTATCGATGGGGGCTTAAAACATTTAAGGTCTGACATCGATAAATGGGACAACAGCAAAAGTTATTTTTAAGATTCACTGTAAATAAACCAGCTTCTGAAATGTAATAGTTAAGACTCATCAGTTTTGCCCACAGAAGAATTTTTTTATTCCCGTAGGGGGAAGTTACTTTATTTAGAAATCGGTCTGGCTGCTGAGATGTTGTACTCTGTTCAGTTTGTGCAGACTCTGGCAAGCTGTATCAGAGCAGCCAGCCTCCAAGATTATCTACCTTCCGTCAATAGTGACTTAAAACATGTACAATGATTATTTTACTTCTAAAGGTTGAGAAAATAAGTCATTGCTATTTTTATTATGCACACAAAGCTAAGGAAGATAATGTTGATGTTTCCAATATTGCATCAGCGAAAAAAGAAACAACAGAGATAGTATGATCTGCAGAACTCGAGTGTACTTCTTCATCCAGTAACCCAGAACCTTTTCCTGATGTCTTGGAAAGACACGGTACGTCCTAGCATAAAATTCTTGCTTTGCATTAGTATGCTTGTATATTGTTCCAAAGACTGACTTTGGATCTTATAAGTAAGAAGACAATAGCGGCTTGACTGAGTAAGAACAGTCTAAAAGAGACTTGTTATCAGACATTTTTTGTGGGGGTGTTTTCTTACAAAGTGACCTTTCCATTGCTCTGTTTAATCACTGCAGCTCATAGGCTATTTCTTTTTGCAGAATGGAAATATCCTCTTTTACATTTCCTTCTAGGTCACATCTTTTGATGCGTACATCTTGAGCCGCTGATGCCACCCAAATTGTCAATGTTTCATAGAGTCACTTCTTTGTTTTTTGTAATACAGATTATACTGGCTGGTGCTGTGCGCATTGCAGACAAGGTGGAGAGCAACAAAACCTCTGTGCTGGTGCACTGCAGTGATGGCTGGGATCGTACAGCACAGGTAAGCAGAAAGGGTCAAAGAAAGATTTCACTTTGTGTGTGTCAACTGGACATGGACATGCTGATGGCTTAGTTAATAATATTATTATGATAGACTGCAGTACTAGGTACCTTAGGTAACAATTTTTAATGGGATTTTACAGAACAACATTGATCATAGGCATAAAAAATGTTAATTTTCAGTTTCCAAGGATTCTCAAGCTTTGGAAGTCACAAAAGTGTTACAGCCATTTTCTCGCTAATTTTACTTCTGACACTAGGCAACCCCCGCCTCCTCCAAACGCAGAAATCTCGACTTTTTTTCAAGATAGATGGGTATTTTGTTCACTAAAAGCAAAACAAATAAACAAGCTTAAGATGATACCAATAACTACATACGCCCAAAAATTGACCCTGATGAACTTAGTGGATGAAAAGCGTTAATCGCTTGGGTATGACCTGAACAGATTGTAAGTTGTGGATAGGTTGAAATGATGGCCATTTTCAAAAGGTATAATCTATTTTAAGCTCCACCCGTCTGCTCGGAAATTTGTACCTGGCAATTGGTTTCCCCTCTTCTATATGTACATTCAGGGAGTAAGGTTGCCTCTTTCTTTATGCATTTGTTTTTGCCATGTGAACTTGACCGTCTCTTTTTTTCTTCAGCTCACATCACTGTCAATGGTGATGTTGGATCCATACTACCGCACCATCAAGGGATTTGAAGTGTTGATAGAACAAGAGTGGTGTGCTTTTGGGCACAAGTTTAAAACGGTAAGTGCCTGCTTTTTTAAAGATTTTTATTTTTCATTACAGAGTACTTTCTTTTCAGTTTACAGCCATCTCTTCCAGTGGATTGTGCCACATATGCACTTCTATTTGAAACAGTTATTGAAACACTTCACCTTTGTCTTGCTTTTAGTTCCCCCTAGTTGAGATTGGTTTATGCCACTTGCCAGCATTGTAGCAGCTGTTTTCATTATCTGCTTTTCTAGTCCTGTATGTTTTCTTACTTAGCTCAAAGACCCATAGCCCCATAATTTGGTACTATCACCCATTTGTGATATTGGTTGTGTGCCTGGTTGTACTGCCCTTTCCATTTTACCTTTCCATATCATTTTCATCAGTGTTGTTATTTTGTTTTGCACAACCTCTATATTGTTCATTATTGCACACTCATATGACCTTATGCAGTTGCAAGCGCTGTAAAACTGAGACAAAAATAATCATATACATATTGTACGTCAAGGGATTTTTTTGTCCTCTTGCAGAGAGTTGGTCATGGAGAAGACAAGCACTCTGATGCTGACAGGTCTCCAGTCTTCCTGCAATTCATTGACTGTGTATGGCAAATGACCCAGCAGGTAGGCTTTGAAGTTTTTCCAAGTGAGACTGAACATTTTTTCTGCTGTCTCAACCACTGTTAAACTGTTGTTTGTAATATAGGATAGAATATGAAAGTGCTTCTTCTTTGAAAATATGTTTTGCATTAAATTTGTCTCTTACACTAAGTATATTGAGGTCTAGAAAATGAGCATAGTATAATTTCTGTATTCTTTAGAATTTTTGTGTACAACCCTAAAACTCTGGCAAAGTTTATCCGCATCATATCCAGCACTGACATTTTTTTTTTTTAAATGATTCCTCTCCTTATTTTTTTTGTTTTGTCTGCTATCTTCCCCAGTTTCCCAATGCATTTGAATTCAATGAGCATTTTCTGATCACTATACTGGATCACTTGTACAGCTGTTTGTTTGGGACATTTCTCTTCAACTGTGAGAGAGAGAGAAGGAAAGAGGTAAGTTACATTGCTCCTGAGCCCTGAACTAAGTTTGAAGTACTCATAGTATTTGTTTCAATGTTTGTGATGAGTTGTGTGTGTGTGTGGGGGGGGGGGGGGGGGGGGTTGAAGATTAGCATCATTATTGTTTCTGTCCACTGTCACTTTTTATAGTATATATTCAATCATATTTCTTTTACCACCAGATTCTTTTTCCCAATTCCTAAGGTGTGCTGTTGGTGTCAAGCTGAGCTATTGTGGGAATGACCATATTTCAAATACCCTATGGGTCTTCTTGAATTTGGAGAGTTTTCAAGGCTCTATACGTACTTTGCTCAGTTGTATTGATGAAGATGGAAGTTACATTCAGTGACCCCATCTCTTCATGGGGACTAATGAAAGGTGCATTGAACCCATATCATTCTGATGTCAAACAAAGGGGCTCCAAATTAATCGTTGTGGGTGGTTAGCAGGTGCTCTGGTGTGATTTGCTCCTTCTTTCCTATTAAACATCTTTCGTCCTGAACTCTCCTCATTTTTATGTTTGTTACTTTCTTGTAAGACCTCTAATCTTCGGCGCTTATATGACATTGTTGTGTTGCAAGTGCCGTAAAACTCTTCCTAAAACTAAACTAAAAGTTAATCGCTAGATATATGTAAGTCTTATTTTTCAAAATGTGTTTATTGTGAGGTTTTTGGCCAAGGTCCCAGACTACAGTATCTCTGGCTGTAATTGTGCTTCATAAATTATTTTGACTCTTGCTACTTTTATCAAACGTTCCTCCTTTCAGCGTGTCCAAGAGGAGACAGTTTCGCTGTGGTCTTTCGTTAACTGCCAACTGGAGGAATTCACCAACCCACTGTACGCAGCCCATGTGCACCAACACGTATTGTACCCAGTGGCCAGTGTGCGGCGCATACAGGTCTGGACTGGCTACTACTGTCGCTGGAATCCCAGGATGAGACCACAGGTAAACAAAATTGGAAGTCTCCAAATATGTGTTGAAGTACTGTTGAGATCACTTACCTCTTTCCAGAAATTCATCGAAATTCATCCTACAGTAGGTGGTCCAAACTGGCTGGGCAGGCAGGTGAAGTCATCATGTTTTTGTGTTAACTTTGGTGTTGGTGGTTTTTTTCATTGTAGCATTGTTGTCCTATTTCTGCATGGACTGCTATGCCCAATACATCGAAATAAAGATCCATCTTTTCTATTTTTTCCTAAAATATATCAGGGTTTGGGTTTTTTTGTATTTAAAAGGTTTATGAAGTTGTAAGTTTGTTATAACCATTCATTGAAAAAGGTATGTTTCTTGAGGTTTTGTGAGTACGAAAATAATCTATGTCATACACTGAAGCCTTGCTCTTTCCAGATAAGGGGCATATGAATTTGAAATTATAACAAAAAGAAAGTCAAAAAAATGAGTTTCAGATTGATTATTGTTTGTTGTGTGTTCAATCCAAATTTCGCTAGAAAAATTAAATTTGAAAATTTGAAAGTCTGAAAAAAATCGTTTAAAAAATCTTGGGCCAGGGGCAAATGTGTACGAACACAGAGCTAAACATGTGCCTTATTTAGATATACTTCTGGACAGTTAATTCTGAAAAGCATGAGCTTTTGACAAAACCTGACTACCCATCTGATTTTTACCTCTGCGCACGTCGGTCATTGCTACCAACAGGACTTCCAGAGAGTGGACAGCGCAGCTGAGAGGGATTTTCACATCAATGCTGTTTGCGAGAACACATCATTTTGAATGAAAAGCAAACTTTGAAGCTCTAAATATAGATATATGTGAGGCATGGTGAAATCAGGAAATAGTCAAAATAATGAAATCGAAGAAACTGGCATTTTTCTGTCCTTTCGGAAATTTTTATAGAATTTTTGTTTTTTGACTCAACATTTTTAAGGTACTTTTAAATACACATTTTTTGTTTTTGATTTCACTGAAAAATGTTGATTTAAAACACTCAAATGTAAATTTGCAGTTTTTTGGCAGCCATTTTCTCGCTAATTTTACCTCTGAAACCGGGCGCCCCCACCTTCTTCAATCGCAAATATCTCGACTTCTATTCATGATAGAGGAGTATTTTTTCCCCGGAAAGCAAGACAAATGAAGAAGCTTTAAAATGATACCAATAACTCCACATGTCCCAAAGTTGACGAGCACCTGATTCCGGCTTGTCGTGACACATTCACAGTTATTCTCTTTCTTGAGACTTGAAAAAATTGAGCATATTTAATTTTTAATCTTCATTGGAAGTGACTCTTTTCCACCGATATGATCTATTATACAGCCAACGAACTGGCCGCCATAGGTGCACACTCTGTGATTTCTTGATAATATCTTTACCACACCGGTCTCTGCGTGCTGGGTTAGATCTAGCCCTTATCGCCGATTTGCTCCCTTCCCGCGCATCCCACTTTCCTGCTTTTGTTTTGTAGATTTCAAGCAACGTGTAGACGTTCAGCTCTTTTAAAGCCCTACCAGTCTGTCCTCAGGTCCATTTGGATAGTAGACATTGCCTGCGCAATTTAGAATAACCCAACCAAAATAGCAAAAGATGAAGGGGTATACAGTAATCACAAGCAATATTTAAAGCAGGTCACGGGTCTGCAAAACACAATATTTGGGTCGAAAATGTGATTTTTAACTGTGTCCATTTTTGGGTACCTAAATATCTAAAGAATCGATATCGCTTGGTGTTTCATTCTAAAAAAAGACAAGAATTCACCGTAGAGGCATTTGCCGGAGTGCACCCTATTCAAAAGTTGGCGCGTTTTCCTCAAATTAGCCCATAATTGGAACGTGAAAAGAACCATGTTTTTCCGTGTCACCCTAACATGTTTAGTATGATTGTGCTCCCAAGCTTTTCTTCTTTCAAGACAAAACGATCAAGACCATCAACATTTATGTATTTCTGACAGTTGAGCACATATACACAAGATGCAGGGCTCCCCTTTTTGTAAATTTTGGGTTATCTTGAACAAAACGAAACTCCGTTGCTAAAAATAATATTATATGACGTCAACACTCAGTTGTGAATGCCGTGTGGTATATTATTATGGTCTCCAACAGTACTTTACGATCACCATTACTTCTTCTTTCGATTAGAGAGTCGTTTGAACTACTGCCACGGATGAAACGGTCTAATTCGCTTTTGTATTTAACAACACATAACCCTGTTTATGATCCCTCTTTTTTTTGTAGATTACAGAGAAGGTAAATCTAGGCAAAATTTCCCTTTTTGTGTGTATTGTACGATCTAAGAAGTCGTTTTTACTCTCATAGTCATATTTCATTTCACATTTGTTTTCAATGTTTGTCCTTACAATTATCACGGTGCGTGTCATTATTTTATAAGTAATGAGGGAGAAATAGAGGAGAGGGGAGGGAGAGAGAGAGAGGGGGGAGGGGAGAGAAAGAGAGAGAAAGAAAGAAGAGGAGAGACAGAGACAGAAGAGAGAGAGAGAGAAAGAAGAGAGAGGGGTGAGGGTGGGTGGAGAGGTATGAGAATGATGAGTTGCAATAATGTATTTGCGTGTGTCTTATGCTGGACCAGTAAAGTATAGTTTTTCTTATATATTATAGTGCCAGGGACGCTTTGCGGAGTTGTCCAATATCTAAAATTTGTTTAGTGGTCCTCGAAAAACTTCTTGCTAGCTACTCATACACCAGTAGTTCACTAGTTGTAGTAGGCCTATTGAAAAATGTAGTCCTGGTGAGGCTTGCATTACAAAGTGTATGGCATTGTTACGTTCATTCATGAACATAATCAGAAGACCATTAGCAGGCTCATTCATATGAAAATCCCATACAGAACAAGCATTTCTTTCAAAAGAATAGAGATTGCTTCAGCACTAACTACAGTAATAATGTATCATTGGAAAAGACAACGTACCGATGCACAGTCAACCTCGCATCCATCGACTTCGGACTCTCAGAAAAGAGAAGGAATCCTAGGTCTCTTTTTCTCATTCATTTTAACAAATCATCCCATACGCATCAAACAGGTATTCAAGCGACCTATGACCTAACATAGCAGTTTGTCCTGCAAGCCGGTCAAAGTGACATGACATGTGCATACTGTAGATCATTTTTGCAATAGCATGTACAGTATGAGTATGACCTATCAGAAAAACGGTGTCACTTTTGGGTACTCAATAAGAGGCCTTCGTATACATACAAATATTCGAGGGTGCATTCCAGATGCTTTCAATGTCCGGTTCTGTTGCATGGTTGAGTGACATGGGGTACGGATGAGTAAAAGAAAACACGCGGAATGACGGATCTGGGCTCTTTAGGAAAAGTGACTATGTCTTTCAATGTAAACTATATAGCTTACACTACAAGCAGACCTGGTTCAGGGGTTTTTTTTCATCATTCTGATCTCAGTAGAGTATTATATTATGTTCTCACTGTGCTAGTGAGCTAAACCTAACGAAACATTGCTCTATAGAAACAGCGGGTGCTTTAGAGAAGGAGAGTTAGAACAGAGACATGGGAGGATTGTACTTGACTCCGCCCCCTCTCCACCACTACCTTTTCTCTCTCTCTTTTGCCTCCCCCCCCCCTCTCTCGCTCTATCTCTCTGTCTATCTGTCTGTCTGTCTCTCTCTCTCTCTCTCTCTCTCTCTCTCTCTCTCTCTCTCTCACTTACGATACACTTGTCCGGCGCATTTGGGGGTGAGATCAGGGTACTTATCGATTTTATCACCGACCTATACAGTCATTCAGTTAGTCATGCAACAAGTTGTGTCATCACACTCTGTACTGTAGTCGTCGGCATTGTGCGCCTTTAGATTGGTTTTAGTGTTTAATTTTTGTAAGAGTTTTACAGCACTTGCTACTCAAAAATGTCATGTAAGTGCCGAAGATTAGAGATGTTACTGATATGAGTGGAGCCATTACATTTATGGGCAAAAGACGATTTTAACAGATTTACTATATTTATCATTCTTATTTTCGTTATAGTTATTATTATTATTATTTTGTATTATTATTATTATTATTATTATTATTATTATTATTATTATTATTATTATTATTATTATTATTATTATTATTATTATTATTATTATTATTATTTTG